CGATTGGAGAGCTGCGTGGGCCACGCCACGGGGTCATTAGTCGAGCCTCCTGCCTGTTACCACGAGCTCGTAGCCCATTGGGGACTATTACTTGGCAATCAAATAAGAGCCCACCTCTAAGGCGGGATGCTGCGCCAAATTCTCAAATCCCGGTAGGGGAAACCCGTTTGTCAATCAACCTACGTCCCGCCTCCTTAGGTAACAATACCGCTACGCTGTGACGACATTCCTGCCATTTCCCCGCCCACGGGCGGGCCCATGATGGGTTTAACGCCTCCTGATTGGCCCCTGGGCTAGATCAAGGGGGACTGACCAATCTTCCGATCGCCTCACCGCAGTGGTCCCGTAACGGATGCCGATTGGCTCGCGAGATTCGAAGACCTGCCACCACCACCACCCCGTACTCGACAGGTGAACTTTGACCCCAAACGGATTGCCCTGTTTAAAGCCCGGAAAGCCCGAGGTCACATGACTTGGTCCTTGGAGGCCGCCATCTTGGTTTGAGTGGTCGCCAAGTAGTGAGTTTTCAGAAGGCAGAGAGCGGAAACATCGCAGCGCTTTTTGGAAACTGGCCTGGCCGGGAAAGCACCAGTGGTTGGACTGTTGCTAGGGACGGAGAGCTCGGAATAGAGCGCTTCGGGAGGAAGTTCACATGGCTCATCGGGCTAATGGCACCACCATTCCCTAGCGATTCCAAACCAGGAAGCGGGCAGGAACCCTCATTCACAAGTTCTCCATCTCCGAGTCCTCAGCCCTGATAGTTCTGCCCTCTTCCCACGCTCTCTGCGCTGCTCCAGTTTCAGCCGGTCCCTCCGCTTGCTTAGCCTGTTTGCTACAATCCCCTACAGGTGTCTCACCTGCCAGGGTCACACCTCTCTCTCTCATCCACACGCTGAGGAGACCAGACTCCTTACCCAGACACGCTTGGCAACGCGCAGGGCCCACGTGTTTCCGCACCCCTTGCTCCAAAGAGTGTATAGGCACCCAGACCTGTGCCTCTGTAAAACAGCACCTATTTTAACCAGCCCCTTGGTCAACTCTTCCGCGAAGACCCCGTCCACTGCCGGGGCCAGGGGTCGGGAGCTGGAGGTGAGGGGTGGGCCTAGGCGCATTTGCCTCGTGGCATCGTCCCCGCACTGAACACGTGTGCGGTAAGTCATGGATGCATAAGCTGCTTTCTTTGGCCATATGGGGCCATCCTTCGTCCAGGTGCTTTCCGGATCCCCAACCCTCCAGGTCGCCCAAGTGCATTCCCACCGGATCACCGGAACCAGAGAGCAACTAGCCCTAACCGTGAAAGACGCATTGTAAATAGGCAGAAACGGCCCATTTTTGCAAAAACTGCCAACAAGTCGATGTGGACTCTCGGTGACCTTACAGGACTGGGCAAAACAGCCCCGGTGAGTTTCCGAGACTAGGATAGAAAGCCCATCTTTTTCCTTAAAGGCTGGTGGTTTTGAACATCAGACCTTGCGGTAAGGAGCCCAACGCATATCCGCTATGCCAGCGGGGCAAGAAGGATTTCTGTAGCCAGATAAGGTAAGGTTTGAGAGCTGAATCACAGAAGCCCAACTAGAAAGTGTCAACCCCAATCGGTTGTGTGAGGTGGTAGAGGCAGAAGGGTCCAGAAACACGAAGATCCCTATTATCAAACAGCAAAACTCAAGCTTCTCACTTTTGCAAAAATTCTCTCCCATCCCAACTTGTAACAAATACGTACCTCAGGAACTGGGGGACTTGGAGCAGAGCCGCAGTCGCTGATCACTGCTTCCGGACAGCCATCCCCAGCGGCAGCAATCTGGGCGGACTAGTTGAGCACCACAGACAAGCTCCGAAAGATTGTGGTTTCTCTGGAACGAAGGTCTTTACGGACTGGATCATAACCTAATCAAGATTTGGATGAGTCTCATTTAAGCGAAGTGTCTCATTTAAGCTAAGCAGGCCAACTAGGAGAAATCGGATTTTAGAAAATGTTTTTCAATTTTATTTTTGATTCTATAACAGGTTAGGCTCCTTACTATCTCATTTAAATCGAGGGGTGGGGCAGAAACACTCCAGGAAGTAGATTTTTCCAAACTATGTCTTTTTTGGGAGGGGAGGGGAGGGGAAGGGCGTGGTAGTGAGAAGAGTCTTAAAGAGTCCGTAATTTGTCCACTACTGAGTAGTGGACAGGGGATTTCAAAGCTGGGTTTCACAGCTGAGATCATAATGACTGAGATCTGCTGTAACACCCCCAAATTACATTTTGTATTGTGATGAAATTTGGCAAAAGACTAAATCTCGACACTAAATGACAGTACATTGTGATTGTATCTTCATCAAAGATTAGTCACCTGTTAAAAGGTTTACATATAGTGTGATAACAAGCAAAAACATTTTTTGATAGGTCAAAAAAGTAGAATATAAAACTATGTATGAAATATGATTAACCCCACGCTGTCCATTCCCGATCACAGAGATAGGAAGGATAGAGGAGAACTGACCCATAGTTTCCAGGCTGTGAACCTTCGAGGAGCCGACCGCCTTTCTCCCCCTGGGCAGCTGGTGATTAGCTGCTGAGTGCTTTAATCACTGTGCCACCAAGTATCCTTATGAAATATGATTACAGTTATGCATATCTGAATTTTAAATTTAGGCATAGTAGGGGGGGGGAGGAGAACATGTACCAGAAAATCTTTGTGTTTTAGTTACTGGTATCAAAAACTTTAAATATGGTGAGACTTAGCCCAGAAGTTGTATTTCTTACAATCTGTTCTAAATAAATCATTTAAAAAGTGGGTTAAAAAGTGGATACGGGCCCCCAGTAAAATGATTTTTTTTTAAAGTGGGTAAACATCTGTGAAGAAACATATCCATCAGAGTGAAAAAATATAAACATATGTCCCAGGGGGGACTTTGAAAAGAACTGTCACATAGGCTATCATTTCGTACAGTCATTATGCCCTCAAAACATTTTTAATGACAAGGAAAAATTCGCAATACAGTGGCAAACTAAATTTCAGTATGCAAAATTCTATGTACAATATGATCATAAAATATAAAAGGAGGTGAAAGACCGGAAAGGCATAAGCAGAAATGTTAATAGTGATCAACTCTGGGTAGAATGATTTTCTTCCTTAAAATGGTCTGATCTCTAGTTTTCTATAATCATGTTATTTTTAACTCAAATTTTACAAATAACTCCCACTTCCAGGCTTTCTCTGATATGCATATTGATTTTACAGAGAGACAGGCTAGGTGACTTGTGACTCATAAGACCCTTCTCTATTTGACTGTGAGCTGTGGAAGCAGGACACAGTCCTAATTACATTCCATGCCCATTGCCTACCACGGTGTGCTAATAAGTGTAGCCGAATGATCTACAGTAATGAAAAATTAGTATCTTTCCTCTTGTTGATGCAAACAACATCAATGAGATAAGTTTCCCTGTGAGAATATATATATGTATATATATATTAAGTAATGGTGTCCGATTCACCCATTATGATTAGAATTCTCAAGTACTAACCAACTGAGAAATTGAAAATGATGACATTTTGGAAAAAACAAAATTACAAAATGACCAAAGGATGTTATGCTCCAGAAGAGGGGAAAATGTGCCAATACAAGGGAATAGTCAGTAGAGTTTGGAAAAAGAGAATTTAAGCAAAATGGTAGGCTTGAGCATCTCCAGTTTGATCCAGAAGTTTCCTCACTAGATGACAAAACATTGGATCTCTTTCTAATCTCATTCCTATTTTAACTCCTTTGATAAATGTAATTTTTAATTGATCATTTTATTGGTGGCTCTTACAGCTATAACAATCCATAAATCAGTCATCAAACTAACTTGTACAGAAGCTGCCATCGTCATTTTCAAAACATTTTCCTTCTACTTGAGCCATTTGATATCAGCTCCTCCTTATTCCCTCCCTCCCACCTTACCACCCTTGTGAACCTTTAATAAATTATATATTATTTCCTCTGAAATGTTATAGTAATATTCTGTGATAGAAAATTACATTGTCCAATATAGTAGCCACTATTCATATGTGGCACTTAAGCATTTTTAATACAGCTAATCTGAATTGAGAAATGCTAAAAATATAAAATGCACACTGGATTTTGAGGTTTTGAAGATTTAATATGAAAAATAGCTCATTGGTAATTGTTTAATATCAATTACACATTGAGAATTGATACTTTTGCTAGATTAGATTCAAATATACAGTGAACCCTCGCCACTTCGCGCTTCGACTTCCGCGGC